CAAACAAAAAAAAAAAAAAAGAATGTTGCTCACCAACTATTGCTGGCAATGAGGAAAGGCGAACTGGGCCGTTCAAGCTAAGGCAGTACGTGTCCCAGTCGAACTTACTAAAATAATCAAGAAACTTAAACAAAACCTAAAGATGATAAAGTATATGATCATTAGAATTATCTTCTCGAGGCATTATGAAGAAAATGGACAATACTTGGGGAGAAAATCAACTCACAGATAAAGGCCCGTCTAGTTTAGAGTGAAAGAGGTGGAAAATGTACAGCACCATTGTCTCCAGAGCATAGGTAGAAATTAGGCCATGATGAGCACCAAGAATACGACTTTCGTAATAGCACCATGATTTGATTAGGATAATACTGCGCTTAAACAGATGATCTTTGCCAATTAGGCGATCGACCTGAAAGTAATGAAAACTCCAAACTGTCACATTTAGAAAATTATGCATCCATCACCATATGTAATATGCAAAATTGGGAAAAAAAAAATTAGGTTTTGTGGTTACATAATAGTAAGAGTTACTAGTCACTGAAAGCAATATAGTATATTAAGAATCATTCCATAGCAATATATATTTCTTTATAGATAGATACTCATATCACAAAATATTTCTTTTCAAATCACAAGTCGCCTATGCATAGATAAAGGCAACATAATGTCATTCCAAAACAAAGGAAAGTTGCATCTCAAAATAGCCATATTAGCAACAAAACAAGAGATAACTGGAAGCATCATGGTCATATAACCCAAAAAGTATCTCAATAATTAACGACTTAATGAACTCATAATGTAAGTTACCTGCTCCAGAAAGCATAAAGTACAAAGGCCCCCGATTTGGTTAAAGGATACATCAACGACTATATCTTGTACAATACATTTCACAAGCTTAACCTGCCATGCAAGAGGCCACACTTGATGAGGTGGGACAATCCATGAACATGAATATGAATACAAATCAAATATAGAGAAAGTATGAATTAATAATCCATGTATATATAAGTATATATATATACACGCGTGTGTGTGTGTACATACATATTCAAGAAAATAACTTCCTGTCTTAAGTGTCTCCATATGACAATGATTATTCTTTTGCAAGATACATATCTCGCATTCGCATTTACGATGCATGTGTTCATTTCTTTGACTATCTCTTACTTTTTTTTCATTAAGTTTACCAACACCGTTTAAACATATTGGCTAAGTAAAAACAAAAGATTGAAGATTGGAATCACATTGTACTTACTAGGATAGCTCTATTTATAGGAGAATCCAAAGTTCTTACCTCTGCTCGAACAAGCTGGACATCCTTTACAACAAATTCCGAGGATGTATTTTTCTCTTCTTCTTGAAGTATAGCTCGCATATCCTCAGCGAAAGTATCTTCAACATTTGCACCACCAAAGGTAGTCAAATCTATGTCTCCATCTGAAAGATAAGTTTTCAGAGGTACAGATCCGTATGCAAATACCTGACAGAAAATGTTCAACGATTAATTCCAACTCTATAAAGGCACAGCAAGGCCAGTGGTGTACAAAAATAGAGACTGAACAAAACTATTCTTAAGCCATAGACTTAAGCCGTACTTACAACAAAGTCAAATAATCATTCTTTATTCACATTCCTTCATATGTGACTCGTCCGTTCATTCAAATCAAGGGACCATAATGTATAAGAGCGTATAAGGTTGGATCTCTGCTATGATCTTTCATTTGAATTTCATCTTTCTAGGAACTATCACATATAAATTTGTAATGAGATCATACGATAAGTTTAAAAGAGCAGCATATTCACTGAGAAAAAAACCAAAAAAATACATGAAATGTTTGTTTTACACCCTTCAGAACTATTTTTAAGAGAGAACTCATCATGACATCTATGAGATAAACAGTCCCCAATTTGGGATGAACTGAGAAATAGTAAAACCCAAGAACCTCGCATACTACAAAACCCAAGTGCAAAACCGATATATGATACATCAATGATTATCATCTGTCATACCTCATGTTCAGATACAACAGTTGTAGAATAGTTCACGTAACATGTAAGAACGAAATGCACTTTAAGTCATAGATTATTCAATCATCTGATGTACCACCATAACTCATTCATTTAAAGTTAATAAATTTATATGTTGGCAATTATGAATAACAGCAAAATTTTACAAAAATAGAAGTGCCCTAATGATAAAATAAATCAGAGGCCGGAATCATATCATATTAGTGACAGGTATCCCCGATTACCTCAATTATATATTTCTCATAGCATTCAAAGACACGTGTGAGGAAGTTGACCGAATTGAGTTCAAAATTATTAGAAACGACTTGACAAAACGGATAAAGTAATCCCGACTCAGAACTTTCGACGCGCATTATAAAAAGCAACCTTTTTTTAGCTAATAATGCTAACGATCTTCCGCATTTAATATCCAACCCATAACGAGATGATCAAAACCAAATTTACCCTAAAAGCTTCCTTGCATTCGAAACAAAGAATTATTCATCCATGCAAATGAAAACACGATCCACTACGTGCACATAAACAACACAGAGAATAATTGGTCTGGCTGCACATCAGACTAACACCCAACACAGCAAACTGGGACATAGAGCTACCATCTCCAAACCAATAAATCCTCAAACCACAAACAGAAACATATATATATCATATCATAAAATGTACACATAATAATAGAAAATAAAACATTAAGAACTACAAGTCAGTTAAATAAGAGCATTGGGATAAA